TTTTGGAGAAAGAAATCTTCTTTTGCTTGCCATATATACAGTCATCACAGAAATCCAAATTGATTAATTTCAAACTCTGAAGTTTATTTTTTGCAAGTAGGGATTTCATACCTTTCTCTGTCATATGGCTAAGCTTACAGTGTCAAAAACCTGCATTCGCACTGGTTCTAGCCACATCAATGAAATCAAACATTTTGTTGATCAAATAAAGGATGCCTTAAATGTTGCCCCGAGTCATCACTAATGCCCCCTCGTCACCTTTCATGAATCACCTGTGAAAGCAATCACAAGTCTGGACCTTGCCAGCTGGCTCACAGATATAAGATTTATCTTCAAACTCAGAACATGTGTAACTTCAGTAAGCTTCCATACTATTTCATTCGGGAACTGGATGTCAACATCACTCTTTCTAATTATAATAAAGGTTTTCTTATCTCTCAGATAAACCTTTCCCAGATCACTCTGACAGCGTGTTTGGGGCAGCTTGTGTTTATCCCGATAAGCAGCTCATTTGGAAACGCGGACCTCGGGTTTGACCCGCATTTCACATTTAGTATAAAAAATCAACTATGTTTTCGGATAAGCTGCTCAAAGCAGTTTCCAAACGGTAGGACGTCGTTTTCAATATGCCGCCGCAGCGAATAAGCTCCCCCAAACGGAACCTGAGTGTAGTTTTTAAATACCTCTTTATTGGGGCAAGCATGAATTGATCCACTTGAATCCACTATCCAGGATTTAGTGCTGATTAGTGATAACACTAGAGAGTCATTTTGGATTTCACCTGTGGAGATATTAGTAGAGAAACTACATTCACGTCCTCCATCACCAGCTTTCGTTGGAGTTTTGCATTCCTTCTTGAAATGACTTTTTTACCGCAGTTTCAGCATTCTCCTCTGTTTAACTTGAACTCTCCTTTCTTTGACTTGGATCTGTCTCTGCATGTATTCATGCCCAAATTCTTTTTGATGTTATCAATTTCAACGTCGAACTTGAAGATTCATCATTTGTTATTTTTCTGCGAACTTCTTCATTCAACATCAGGCCTCCAATATCATCAAAGTTCAAATTCAAAGTCCCTGAAGAATTACGCACCGTCGTTACCAAACCATTCCAGCTTTCTGACAATGAAAATGATATCATCTGTGCTCTGACCTTATCATCAAACTTGATACCAACTGAACACACTTAGCTCGTCACTGTGTTGAAGTTATTGAGATGCTCTGTCATTGAACTGCATTCCACCATCTTCATATTAAATAATTTCTTCAACAGGAAAATCTTATTGGAAGCAGAAGTTTTTTCATACATTTTGATCAGTGTCGTCATAAGATCAACCGTAGTTTCCTCATTTCTAATGTTGAACGCAACAGATGAGGAAAGTGTCAACCTGATCAAACTTAGTGTTGTTCGATCCTACAATTCTCATTCCTCCATAGGCATAGACTGAGGCTTTCTTGTGGTTTCTTATAGTCAGGCACAATTTTTTTTGATACAACAAATTCTTCATTTGCATCTTCCAGAAAGTGAATTTCGTCCAATTAAAGTTCTCCACTTTGAACCTTGCTTCTTCAGTCATTGCTCCCACTCAAATCGAAACCCTATTTGATACCAATTTGCTAGAGAAAACTACTGCAAAAGAGTCTGCTTTTAATTTCACGGCAGAATAGGGTCACAGGAATCTAGAAAATTGGAACAAAAATTTAAACACAGAAGCAAAATTAAAGTAACCAGAGAAGCACACAAAGATTTTTATGTGGAAAAACATGAGAACGGAAAAAAAACACGGAGCCACACCTCCAAGAATTTATTCTCCGAAATTTATAAGGTTTTTCAAAGAACTCGCACAAGTTTTCTCTTCACTTACAAAGAGAACTTACGGGTTCGCTCCACAATCTTCCTTCTTCGATCCGACGCACAAATTACGACGAATCTCTAAAATTCACCTCCTTTACTGAGATGCTCGCCGAAGAATACAAATGGAAAATAACAGTAAGCTCACCTGTCTATGCTAAAAAAATTGGCTGAAAAATCAATTTTTCGTGTAGTAACTACATTGGACGCTTAGGCGCCCAAACTTGGCGCTTTTGGTGCCTAAGCGCCAAGCGCTCTGTATCGACGCCCCCATAATGGGCGCCTAGGCGTCATTCTCTCAGGAATAAGAGTAGCGCCCGCTCTATAGCGGGTGCATATGTTCTCAAAGCCGGCGCCTAGGTACTGGCTTATCTGTTCGAGCATCACCCTAGTGGGCGCTTAAGCGCCCACAATCCGGCACATCTGCGTCGGGTGCCTTGTACTTAGGCTCCACAACCCAACAAGGAGTGAGTAGTAGTGGTGGAGTGGTGCAAGTGGGAGAAATTACATGTCCTGTGATTTTGGATGAATCAACCGAGGAGATGAAAATCGAGAAGATTGACCCTAGAGGTGGTGGGATTCAGGATGAATGTGTGCTAAGAGTGTATACACGAAGGAAGAAGCAAATTGAGTGAATAGAGTCTGTCGTGTTAACAAGTTCCTTGTTCCGGTCTTCCTCAATTCTTGAGACACCTAGACCATCCACCTTTGATTTAAAACTCTTTAAGTGATGTTTTCCTCCTCCGTCCACACCTAACCCCCCTCCCTCCTACTGTGAAAGAGGACCCCCACAGCAATGCAGGACATCCTCGTGATCGTTTTGGGTGGGAAATTCACATTACGAACTTTGTTTCTTATCTGACATCTCACCATTGCATGGGGCATTCATTGCATCATTAGACTGTATCTCGATACCCAATTATTGATAGGTTGCTATAGAGAATCTCAAGTGGAAAACGACGATCCATGAAGAGCTTGGAGCTCTCGATAAAAACCGAACATGAAATATTGTACCACTACCAACAGAGAAGAAGACAGTTGAATGCAAGATGATCTTCACGGTAAATCAAACTCTATAAGGAATGGTGGAGAGGTACAAAGTAAGTGACAAAAGGGTACAGTCAGACATATGACATTGACCATGATGAAACCCTTACCCCAACATCAAAGATGAGCACGGTGAGGACACTGGTTTCTCTGACAGTGAATGGTGGGTGAAGACTTAACCGACTAGATGTGAAGAAGGTTTTTCTTCGTGGGGGAGCTACTGGAAAAGGTATGTATGGGGATACTGTCAGGATTCAATACAGCCCAGAGAGTGGGCGGGGTGCGTAGGCTCGGGAAGTCGTTGTATGGCTTGAAGCAGTCCCCTCAAGCTTGGTTTGAAAAGTTTTGAATGGTGGTGGTTGGCATGAGATATCAGCCGATCAATGCAGACCATACGGTGTTCTTTCGGCAACATGGAGGTCACACTACCATACTTGTTGTGTATGTGGAAAACATAATTATCACTGGTGACGATGAGGTAGAATTGCTCAAATGAATGGAAGATTGGGGAAGCAATTTGAGGTAAAATATCTGAGATAGCTCTGATAGTTTCATGGGATTGAAGTGGCCCACGGACCCGAGGGGATGGTTCTATCTCAGAGAAAGTATGTATTGATCTTCTCACGGAGAAATGTATACGGGAATGCAAACCTGAAGTCTCTCCAATTGATAAGAGGGTCAAGCTCAGTGCAGAGGCAGGTAAATCAGTTGATCATAAGAGATACCAGAGATTGGTGGGCCGTCTGATCTATCTGTGCCACACTCGGCCCGATATTTCTTTTGTCGTAAGTGTAGTGGCCGCTACATGCATGGTCCAAGGAAGGGTCATATGGATGCAGTGCATCAGATTTTGAGATATTTGAAGAGTGCACCAAGAAATTGATTGATATTCAGGAAGAATGGGCATGTAGATAATGAGGGCTTTGTGATTATGACTGAGTAAGTTGTGCTGGTGATAGACGATCCACTTCAGGATATTGCATGTTGTACGTGGCATCTTGGTCTCATGGAAGAGCATGAAACACTCAATTGTAGCAAGATCAACAAAACAGGGTCATGGCATTAGGACTTGTTGAGATGGTGTGGCTGAAAACCTTGTTGGTTGAACTCAAAGTGGATCAAGAAACTCAAATGAAATTGTGGTGTGACTACAAGTTGGCAATCAACATTGCTAACAACCCGATACAACACGATAGAACTAAACATGTGGAGAGTCATAGATTATTCATCAAGGAGAATCTGAATAACAGATTGTTGGAACTAAGTCATGTAGCTACTGGAGAGCGAGTCGCTGACTGCCTCACTAAAAGACTTAGTTCAGTAGAGTTAGCTAGATTATGTGACAAGAAGGGATTAGTGAATATTTCTCACCCATCTTGAATGGGAGCGTTGAGAGTTAGGAGGATTTTATTAAGTTGATTTGTTAATCATTGTAACCCCTATTTAAACACATATGTTAAATGAAATAGAGTTTTTTTGGCTTATTTTCTTTCAATTAGTTATGATTACTTTTGCTTAGAAACATTTAAATATGTTAATTTACTGATTGGATAATTTTTCTTTTGTTTTTATGCATTAGAGATGATTCTCTCTAGTCCTCTTATCGAAGATGTTGTGTCATTGATCTTTCTCAGTTGGTATGCCTATAACCTTAGGGGATCTTGGTGGTGATCTTGCTTGGATGTCAGAACAACTTTCTATATATCTGCAGCCACTTGTCCAGTCACCGATCACTCTCGTTTAGAGCCTTCACTGCCATTTTTTCCTCTGTTGCTCTTCCTACGAAGACCCGACCCATCCTTTAATTCTTTCACACCGTCTAGAAATCCTAGATCATTGACAGTAACATAAAGCATAGAGAATGACATTTGTTAGGGTTGTCTTTAAATTCAAAGGCGTTAAAATTTAATTGCTTGAGCCTTTTTTTATATCATTGTTCCAATTTTACATATGCATGCTTATGCTGTGGATATGTTGGGTTCTTCTTAGGTAGAATATCAAGAAATTAATATTACATTTCATTAGGGGAAAGAAAAATATTGGATTTATTATTCCAACTTATAAGCTTCCCTAGTCTTTGAAGTTTCACATTGTAATTGCAGGTATGTCAATGGCATAAACTCCATTCTTACTAGCAGTATTCCTACTCTTGGAAGCCTTCTTTCTTCCACTCATTTTCAATTTTTCTTGGATAAGGTAAGCATCCCGAGCTAATATGCTCTCAATTTGTGTTTTTTTATTGAAATTTGTGTGTTCTACTGTTTTTAGTCGTATTAGTTCTTATTCTTCCACATTAGATGGTTTGGCACAGGCGTGGTTTTAGATTCCTCTTTCTATACTCCATAGGTTTGTTGGCAATCTTTGGTAGTGAATTTCTAGTTTGAAAAGGCCCGGTCCAGTTATATTGAAGGAACATTGACATACATACCACTCAATTCCTGTGTATTTACATAACTAACACCTAAACTTCAATTTTTTATACACATCACCTTACTTAAGCATGAAAATGTGTATTTCACTTTTTAAAAGTTAAAATAGTGGTATTTTTATGTGATATGAAAGAGTTGGGTGGTATGAATGTCAAAAAGTAAAGTTTAGGTGTTAGATATGTAAATACATAAGAATTGGGTGGTATCTATGTAAATGCCCGTATTTTGAAATCTATAGCCAACATGGTCTTGAGTATGATAATTCTTACATTGTGAAAACTACAGTGGATAATTATTTTAACAAACATTCCTTGGATTTTTTTTAATATAATTCCATGTTTTTTAATCGTTCCATCTTGGATTCATTGCAGATATGGCTTAATAAGTTGCCATGATACTGTGATTTTCAGTATCAAAGAAAGCTTAATTCCTACTGTAAACAATTTTTTGAATGTTTTCTAGAAAACTAGTTCTCTAGTATGGCCTTAGCCTACTTTAGCGTTCTTTTGATTAAGTTGATTTATACTTCGTTTCCTGGTTTTCATTGAATTTTTACACTTTACCACTGAAAGAGTAATCTTTCTTATGATAATTTTTTTTTTTTTTTTTTTTTGAGAAAGCCCAAGGGCTAATATATAAAAAAAAATGAAAAATACAGATAGATTCTATGAGAGGGCCCAAATATGGCACCCTATCTACAAGTTAAACACCACATGCAAATAGTTCCAGAAAAAAAAAGATACAGAAAAATACATGAGAGCCCAAAAACCAAAACTGCCAAAACACATAGTATCAGGTAGCTAGAGAGTAACCCAATTTTGCCCTGCCTCTCAATTCCTATGTATTTAGAAGGTTTTACAAGGAAAATCAGGAACCATGCGCAAGGAATGACTGGGAGGAGAGGTTTAAGTATTAAATATGTAAATACATAGGAATTGAATGGTATCTTGTTCTAGGAGGCTCCGTGTTCGTGGGCAGCACACGAAGACTACTAGGAGGAGAGGAAAGACTGTCGGCGTGTTGTTGCTGTGCTTCTTCCGCATTGTTATGTTGTCTCTCCATTGGAGCTTGAAACTAAAATTTTGGGCGACTTAAAAATTTTTTTTCAGTATTTACTTTTCTTGTAGTTTTGCATTATTATATTACTATGTCAAGGATATATTGATCGTCTCTTAGTTCTGCTCTGCTGCAAACATTATGCTTTTCTTTTTATTATAAAGCTTTCTGATCAATAATATATATATAATTTGGAGGATGGGGTCGTTTGCTGAGAGGTGGATTCTTTTTAATTGCATGGTGTGGCAAAATAAGTCTTCTGGTCCTTTGCAATGTGCTGGATCCATAATTATTGAATATCAGCTTTCCTTAATAACAAATGTTCCATATCCACTGCCTTGATTTCTTCTGGAATAGCTTTAACTTAACAAACGCATATCTTCCTGCAGTTAGCAGCTTCTCTTGGCCCTCGGTTCTACCTGAATATTTATAAGTGCAGGCACATATCAGAAACTGGGGCACAGCAGGTACAGTTCGTGCAATTTCTTTTTATTTTGTTGATGGGGCATTTACATACATAGCTCACAATTCTGAGGTACTTTATATATCTCACACCTAAACTTTCATATTTACGCACAACACACAACGCTCAAATATTTAATATTACATAAACGTCACTTCTTACATCTTTTCGTGCATAAGTTTAAAGCACCAAATTGCTATGTGTGTAAATGTGAAACTTTAGGTGTGAGATATGTAAATACATAAGAATTGTGTGCTGTGTATGTAAATTTTCCTTTGTTGATTTGTAGGGAAGGTTGAAGCAACTTCAGGTCACATTAAAGTAAATACATAGAGTGCTATCATTTAATTTTTAATGAGGAACTACTGTAACTTGTAATTCTTAATTTGGTTTTTTTGCATTGCAGATGTTGTTGGACACTCAGGCTGTGAAAACAATCCTTCTAGACATCCCTACCTTAGGGAAACAGGTAAACTAATGCGTTCACATCAGTTGTGATTCCAGATAATTATAATGTTATAATATTTTTTGCTATTTTAGATGACTAAGTGATGCGACGCCTATGCCCGTGCAGGTGCGGCAAGTGCCGTTCACCGACTGGCTCGGTTTTGGTGGGAGAAGTGGGAGAAGGATCGAGTGGAAGGATCGAGTGGTCCTTCCTTGCGCACGGTTCCCTCCTATTTGGAGAGGGGCCCACTCCTCTTTACCCTTAGATTGTATATATGTTATTTGTTGAGTTTTATGTCAGTTTTTGCTTTAGTTTTCTTTTGTCGGTGTCTTTGCCCTTGCTAGGGCTGTATCTGAGGACAAGTGAAGCTCTGGATGTATCCTGCTCCAAGGTAGTGATTATCTCTGCATATTTTCGTTACTACTATTCTCGCTTTCTTGCTGCCACCCTCTCTGCGCTACTTTTACTTGTCGTCGCCACTTCTTGCACCATCCCTTGCTACGGTCGTCCATCCCCACCTCTTCCTTGTTGTTGCCTACCTTTTAATACTATCTCTGCCTGCTACCGCCACCCCTGCACACCTCTAGCTTGTTGCTATCCTTCCCAAGCCCCTTGTCGCTGCTCAACCTATTGTCCGGCCATTGGATAGACCTCCAACCACTATTCCCCTAGCCACCGCCACCTTTCATCCTCACCATAGCGGGGTTTTTGTATATTTGTTGTGTTTATCCTAGTTCAAGTTTGTTGATTGTAATTTTGTTTTGCTTTGTGTAATAAAATTTGTTTTTCCTATTGGATTTTTGGGTTAACTCTAGTATTCTTTGGTATCAGAGCTAGCCTTACCCTAGTCTTATCATAAGGTTTCTAGCCTTCCCACACATCAAATAAAAAATTTTCCTTCATATCCTCAAATACCCTCTTCCACCCTCACAAATTCAAACCCTAGCCATGCTACCAAGGAGATATTTGTCGAAACCTACTTGGGAAGAGATACGCGAGAGATCTATCGACTTCAACAGAGACTTACGGAGATTGATGATTGGACTCGGGGGCAAATTACCCTCGATCATGTTGTGGGGAGTTGAACAAGAGAAATGGATGAGAATTTGAACCCATTTCCATAGGGAGGACTTCAGTGATGAGGATGACAATTAACAATGCTTCGAAATTCATTATCAGAGGAGGTCGGAAGAGGAGGCAACGTATGGAGGACATAGATTTCAAAGGAAAAGCAAATCTACCGAAGTTCGACAATGGGATGGATCTAGATGATTTCATCAATGGTTGCAGTAGGTTGAGAGAACCTTCAAGTACAAAGACATGCCAGAAGACAAGAGGACGAAGCTTGGGGCCATCAAATTGAAAAAGAGTGCTTTCTTTTGGTGGGAAAATTTGCGAAGGTGGAGGAGTGAGGAAGTGATAAGTTTTCAGATGGGACGAATTGAGGAGGAAATGTAGAGGAAATATTTACCTCCTCACTACCGTTAGGATATGTTTCTAAGGCTCCATTACCTATAGCAGTGAGACCTATCAGTTGAGGAGATAACAATACAGTTTGACTAGTTTCAGATGAAATATGAGTTAGTTGAGTCAAAGGAACATACTTTAGCCTAATATCTGGGATGTTGGAAGCCATCTATCAGTAACATCGTGCAACTACAGTCCTATTGGTCACTGAGAGATATTCAAACCTTAGCTTTGAAGGGTGGAGAGATTGCAAAACAAAGCAGACAGCCTCTTGCAGTTGCAGCTACCAACAAGGGTACATCTGGATGAATTGGGAAGACCAGACAGGTAAGTGACAAGACAGATATGAGGGGAAAGAAACCCAAAAGAGTAATTCGCCCAGTATAGTATCTGTCAAAAGATGCTTTGGGTGTCACTGCTACGGACACAGTCTCCAACTGCTCCATACGTCGAGTTGTTTCATTCACTGAGTAGGCTGTCGTTGAGAAAGTGGGTGAGGAGAAAGATGGGGAGGATTAGGAGGAACTTCAACTCCAGGGAGATGAGGGAGAAATGCTAGCCGTATTGAAGGTTCTACAGATTAAGCCAGAGAAGGATCATTCATGGTTAAGGCATAGTATTTTCCGCACCAAGTTTATCGTGAAAGAAAGGTCTACAACTTGATTATTGATGGTGAGAGCTATGAGATTATAGTATCCACTCTGATAGTGAAGAAATTGGAGTTGGCCTCATAGAAACATCATCAACCATACTCCTTTGTCTGGTTGAAAAGGGACAATTAGATATACATGGATTAACAGTTTTTGGTTAGTTTTCTGTTGGAGATCAGTTACAGGAGCGGCTATGGTGCGACGTGGTATCTGTGGACGTTTTTATATTTTGTGAAGGGGAGGCCATGACAATTCAACCATAAAGCCTAGCATGACAGATTCAAGAACACTTATTCATTTGAAACGGATAGAAGACAATTCTTTTGCCCACCGGGGATGCGAGAGTAGACATCACAAAGGTGACGAGAGTCTCACAAGCCACTGTTGGCACTAAAAGAAAGTTAAAAGAAAGTTTGGGGGGTCGCCCGTAAGAAGCTGTCGGCAGCCGGAATTGAAATCTCATCGCTCGCTTCGGAAGGACGTTTTAATTTATGTATATATATGTATATAATTTTAGAAAAATATGAAATCAAACTGACCTCATATTTTTCATAGTTTAAATGAAAAAGCACTCTACCTCAAATATTGTATCTACTCCGAGGGATAAACACAAGACTTGAGGGTGAGACTCGATCAAATAAACTAAGAAAACATATGACATCCGTTTGGGTCTGCGAAACCGTTTTATTTGCCGACAAGTTCCCCTATTTAATACAAATAATTAAATAGGGTTTATTTTAAGCTGGGTTCGGAAAAGCTTCCTATAAGGGCAAGCCCCTATAGTTAATTACATCTTAAATGACCTAGGTCACCTAAGAAAACTCTCGATAAAAATCAGGGAATAATGTCTTCAAAGAAGTCAAAAGGATAGGACTTTTCAACGAAATCGGACGAAGAGGTGTGAAAGGGGAAA